AGAGATATAGTAAGAGAAAGAAATTTGAGAAAAGATGTAGTTCTACTGTGTACAAAACCTTACTTCCAGTATGAAAATATGTGTCCAAACAGAAATTGTGTTTTTCTAGTTTTGAGTGCTGTTATATTTTAATTCTCCCCTTCCATCTCCATATAGCAAAAGGTACATAGATGGGCCACAGCTACGAAGAGAAGAAAATTCTATCAACTTTTCTATAGAAAAATTCAAAATACCTATCATTAAGAAAATCCACATGTAAAGTCCCTAGTCTCCAGGCAACAAATTGTCATGAGCCACACTGTAATGCTGGGAAAAGGCTTTGTCCTAATGCAAAAGAACTGCTTTTGTCTCAGCCTGGAAATTTGCATAGCTATATTAAAGAAAAAGAGAAGCCAAATTGGGCATGTTAGCATGAACAGACATTCAATAAATGGTAATAGAATGGCGTAGGTTTACACCCCTTTGTCAAGACAATTAAAAACAATTAAAGTTTTCCTTGTCAACAAGCCAGCTTCTAATGTTGTGTGTAAAATTCACAAGAGGTCTTCCTGCTACTAGTATACTTGACTACCATAGCTTTCATAGAAAACTGTTTTGTTTTGACCCACTTGCTCTGCAAGTTTTTTAACAATTGCCTTTGGTAACTTACAGAAAAAATTTGGCACAGAGAATTTGCTAAAATGTACAGTAAGGCTGCCTGCCAAGGTAACGGTATAGAACAGGTGCTGTCAGATTCAGGAGGAAGCAAAAGAAGGAAACCAATAGATGGAATAAGCACAGGAAATGACCCCAAAACAAAGCAGCCTGTGCCTCATCCTGTTACCACCACCTGGCCCAGCCAGAAGCCATCCCTCGACCACTGGTCCAGCTTGCAGTTGTTTACACATCCCACTGGCAGGCCTGGTCACATCGTCTGCCTTTTCCTTTCTTTTTTTTTTTTTTTTTTTTTTTAATTTCTTTCTCTTACTGGAAGAAATTCTATTTTGTGAACTTTGATTCACTTCCCAACTCCAAATACATAAAGGTTAGTGGTTTTTCTGATTGGTTTGAGCTCTTATTTTACAGTAAAGGAAGTAATCATTTTTGTTTTATTTAGTAGAAATTTCTATTTGTTAAATGTGTTATATATATGAGATAAGGTGTTACGATTTTGAGCTTATTTCTTTGGGCTCCTTTTTACATTGAAAGGAGTAATCAAATTTTTATTTTACCTATTAGAAATTCATACTTGCTGTTAAAGACAGAGGGTCTTGTTTTTTGCTAAAAACACATTTCAGAGGAATTTTGAGGACATCTAGAATGCCTTTGTGGTTCAAGTTTAATCTTTTCATTTGTCAGTATATTTCACCTGGACCAGCCCCAGACTAGAGGCAGGGCTGCTAAACTGGGATCAGATACCAAGAGTTAGTTTAGATTAAGTGTCAACCTTGGAGGTGTGGCGAAACAAGTTCCTATACTAACTGCTCCTAAAGTGAAGTCCCTAGTACTCAGTGTGACTGTGTGCCATGGAACTCTAGGCAGTCAACTGTAGGGGAGGGAAAAATGACCCTCTACCCATCTTATGTTCATCAGCTCGGGCCCTATAAATTAGACTGACAAAAGACAGAGTAACAAAAGAAAAACAAACAGAAAATTATTAACATGTACATTGGGCATATACAAAGGAGCACCCAGAGATGAGTAACTAAGGGGTGGTTAGAATTGGGGGTCAATATACCTAATTTACTGGGTGAAAGGAAGTAGGGGGTAAGGGCTTACAGAAAAGCAAATGTCTTTTTGGAAAGATAAAAGGGCCCTTAGGAGAACAGATGGGGGATATGAGAGTCTTCTAACAAAGCCTGTGTGGGTGTTGTGAGAAGATTAGAGTTGCTCTGCAGAAGGGGATTTAATGTCATTTCAGTTCTTTTGGGAGGCTCTGCTTTTAGTCAGATAAGGGATTTCAGGAACTCAAATGCCTTCAGATCAAAATACTTCTCATGCCAAAGAGGCATATTTGGGAGTGGCACATCCCGATCCCCTTCACATCATTCCCCAGTTCTATTGCTCTCTTTCTGCCTCTTTTCTACTCTTTCATTAGGCTTTGTTTTAATTTTGCTATTCTTCACCTGTATTTTGACTGACAGCAAGCCAGATAAATGTCCATTATTCCAAAACACTAGGCAGCATTTCTTTGAGAACTGCCTCTTCTTTACTTTGCAAAATGTTTAACATTACTGTATGAACAACAGGTTACTCTAGGGTTGACAGATTCTGTATGCAACTTGGCATCCTTGTTCATATTTTCGCTATTGCTTAAATATTCTATGCCTTTAGGTTTCATATTTTTTAAAGTTATTTTTAGTTTGGAAAAAAATATTTTAAATGTTCTACCAAAATTATTGGGTTTATTGAAACTACCAGTTTGTGTCTCTTTATCCTTAAGCCACTAAAAATACATGAGAGCTGATACCCTACACTCTGCAGCTTTGGGTGAGCGTTCACAGTCCTTCCAGAATTTCATGTGGCCACACCAAAAAAATTCACAGAAATGCTCCACTGGTCTCAAGGACAATCTGGCAGCAAGCTGACCATAAGACAGCAATCTTTAAAGGAATAACCTCAGAAAAGCCAGTCAAAGAAAAGTCTCTAGAATGGAGAACTTTATAATGGTAAGGTATATAGAATCCACTTTTAAAAGTGAACCTAAAGTGTCCAAACTATACAGTAATATACACAATTAAAGTAATTTTGTGATTTGTGAATCACCATATTTTTTAAAGACTCCTAATTAAGTTTTTTTCTTACAAAACAAGTGAAATTTATCTTCTTGATACATCATCTTACAATATAGGATTAATTTTTTGATAGTTTATCATTTCATCTCCCTTTCTCATTACAAAAGAAAGTTGTTATAATGTATTTTGACTGTATATTTTCTAGAGTTAAAATAAATAAATAAAAATTGGATATATTGGTTACTTCTTCTCTCACTAAAAGTTATCTTCTTCACTTACTCTTAGTTCCTCCAAACCTTTTTTAAGTTGTTTAAAGAGAATTTATTGACATATAATTTTTTATTTATAAATTGACACATCAATGTTTATTTTAAAAATTGCATTTCATGGGGCTGGCCCCGTGGCCGAGTGGTTAAGTTCGCGCGCTCCGCTGTAGGCGGCCCAGTGTTTCGTTAGTTCGAATCCTGGGCGCGGACATGGCACTGCTCATCAGACCACGCTGAGGCAGCGTCCCACATGCCACAACTAGAAGAACCCACAACGAAGAATACACAACTATGTACCGGGGGGGCTTTGGGGAGAAAAAGGAAAAAATAAAAAAAAATAAAATCTTTAAAAAAAAAAAAATTGCATTTCATATTGATTTTCTTTGATGGAGCCTCTTATTATGAATCTAAAAGTAAAGAGGAGACATGGAGAGAAATTTTGCCACTTATGAAAACTGATCAGGGAAAGAAGAGTATATGGTCATAAGTAGCCAGTCTTTGGGGAGAGTCTCTATTGGGTCAACCTTTCCATTTTCCAGAGTTTTACATTCAATTATTTCAACCCACACTATAAATATTGACAGCCTCCTATGTAGAAAGTACTGCAATAGATTCCAGGAAAACAAGATGAATTAGCCCAGGTCCTTGCTCACAAAGACCTTATATTTCAGGAAGCATATTCTCTTTATATAGGTGTGAAAAAGCAAGAATGGCTTGCCTTGCTGGTTATTATATATAGTAAGCTGGCACTGTGAGAATGTGACCAGCCTGATTAGAAGACAATGTCCAATATCAGATGAAGTCTTTCCAGTATAACTGCTGACAATTATATCTGAATTCACAAATATGGCTCATGAGGACATTCGTGATCTGCCCCTTCCTTAATTCTTTAGACATATCTCCCTATTTTAAACACTATATTTCAGACATCATAAGTTCCTTTGCCAACAAAATTTAATATTCTCCCACATTCCACTTCCACATCACTCCCTGAGCATCCATTCCTGGCCTGACTTAGATGCTCATTTCATTTCTCATATTGTACCCCATGCTTATCCCTATTGTTTTCACTCATCACACTTTATTGTACTTGCCCATTTTCTTGACTGCTGGGAGACTGTAAACTCTTGAGAAATAGATACATATTCTTCACCATCATGTCCTCAATGTAAAGTAGCTGGCACTTCATAGGTGCTTAATAAATATTTGTTGAATAAATGAGTGAATTGCTTCAACTTCTGTTTTCCAAGAGAAACAGAATATTGCTAGCTGGTCCATTCCAGGATCCTTCAAGTAGAAAGCTAAATAATCCCAACTGATAGCACAATCTATAACTAATTATACTGATTAAAGTCTCTTAAAGTATAATTATACGAAGATTTATTTTCCTTTAATATTCATAATAAAAAAAAACTGCTAGCAATTTCTAATTAGTGGCTTTTTTTTCAAATCCATACTAACTTAGGATTCAAGTACCACTGTGATACATTTATATAAGCTAATTTATATAAGTGCTTACCACAGTATACATGTCAGAGTAAGTCCTCAATAATGCATGATGGCAGTAGTGCTGGTAGACTACTTTATGGTGATTGCAAGAATGAATGTGCATCAATGATGTTATATATAAATTATAGGAAAGATATATATTCAAGATATTATAAAGAAAGAGTGATAAAAATTTAGACATTTATTTCAAAATATAGGAAAATCATAGCCATATATCTTCTTTACACGTAATAGTGTTATTAGAAATTATTATTAGATTAAGCATGATAATAACAAGCCATTGTATTGGGGCAGAGAATGTGCAATGTAATTGCATAATTTTGCAATACTTTGTAATGCACAGAATAATTCTTCCCAATGTCCAAAAATGTAAGTGAACAATAATGACATCTGAACGCTTTCTGACAAAAACAGCAGTTACAGAGAGAAAGAGGGGAAAGGGGTTTTATATTCTCTAACTGCTCAAACAGTTTTACAAATATTTATAAAAGGTCACCAATAGAGGGCTTACCTGGGGTCAAATGGAAGAGGCCCTAAACCATCAAAAGCTATTTCCAGTGTCCAGCTGGGAGATCTAAAACAGAGAGTAACAAAGACAGTTTGTGACAAAGCTGACACACAGTATTCTGGAAGGAGTGAAATCAATTGTGACATTTTTCATTTATTTGTAAATGCCTCTTTGGCAGTACACTCACTCAAAACGACAGTTGCTTCTTACAGAAGAGGGGAGGTGATGGTAAAATAGAGGAATCCTGACAGTTGCTTTAATGAGATTCCACATTAGGGCTACTCGAACATTTTCCCTCAACAAGAAGCTTGCCCTTCATTTTCAATATCATAACTCCATAATTTGGAAAATGTTATCTCTATGAAAAACTCAACCAGCCAGTTCTTAATAGCCATTGCCCAGTTTATTTTCCTATTCTCTTTAAATTAGAAGAAAACATTCTAAAGCAAGTATCTAAATAAACATCAGCCATACAGACCAATTACCTCTTTTTATTAAAAGAGTACTGTTTTTACTCAAGACAGCGATATGGAGTGTGACTGAACAATTCAAGACACACTGTTCAGTAACTCAATATTTGTGTGGAAATATCAGGCAGTACAATTTAATCTACATCTTAAGAGGCTATAATATGTATAATTTAAGCTCCTAAGGAAAAGGAAGTTATTGGCAAGGCAGTTTCAAATAAGTAGTCTAAAGATTCCTCTTCGTTTATTCACTCAGTTGTTCTTGGATTATATGCTAAGTGCCTGGTGCAGTTGCAAATCAACTGGTATAAACCCACCTCTAAAAAAAAAAAAGAAAGTAAATTATAGTGTGCAGGGAAATTGCAGTCCAATCCAGGGTCTAGCCCAGCACTTATCACCTATTAGTCAACCAATAGGTATTTGCTGAACTGCATAAAATCAAATCTCTATGCATGGAAAAATAAAAAGAACATGCATTCTGGCATTATATATGCCAATGCTACCTGTGGCATCATGGGTTCAAATTCTAGATTCCAGAGAAATGAACTAATTAAGGGACCTTGTAGAAGTAACAAACTCTCTGGGTTCCAATTTCCTTATCTATAAAGAAGACTTAGTAATATTTACTACATGTGATTGTTGTAACAATTAAATAAACATTAGGGCAGGAATAAAGCACCTAGCACAGTTCGTGGCACATAGTAAGTTGTCAATAAATGGTAGCTATTAGAATTATGAAGCTTTTCTTTGACCAAAACAAACGACATCTTTCTCAAATACAATAAGAACAAAAGTAGCAAGAATGAGTAGAATGAGAGAACACTGGCTGTCAGGATACTATGATAAGAACCTTAGTTCTATCGCTTCCACTGACAGCCTCTTTACAACTCAGTTCTGTCATCACAAAAATGGGACTAACATTCCTACTTTTACATAAACTCCCGACTCAGCTTGGTTACTAAAGGTGTTTGAGTACTTTACCCAAATCTCGTACATTCTTGGAATATGTCCAGTGAATATGGCAGAGAATACCATTTCAGGTTGGCAGATTAACTGTGGTGCGATTTTGTGTTGGTAATTTTACCCTGTTGGTCAATAGTTAATTTGCAGGTAAAGTTCAGTAGTGCTAAAAAATTGCTTGAGCAGCTAAATGTGTGCAGACTCATGAAGGTTTTTGTCTCCTCATTCCATCTTCAGTTTACCTAGAGCAGTGGTTCTCAAACTTATCTATACATTAAAATCACTGGAAGAATTTTTTTCTCTATTTTTGTTTGTGGATTGCCGCCATAGCAAGGCCACGGACAAGTGGTGTAGGTCCACATCAGGAACCGAACCTGGGCCGCCCAAGTGGAGCATGCCAAACTCAACCACTAGACTACCTGGGCTGCCCAAGTGGAGCATGCCAAACTCAACCACTAGGCCACAGGGCCAGCCCCAGGAGAATTTTTCTTTAATGCTAATATCTACGTGCCACCCAGAACAACTAAATCAAAATATTTTTTAAAAGCTTCTCAGGTGATTCTAATGTGCAGCCAAGGTTTAGATCTATTGGCCTAGAGTCAAATACTATGTTTCTCCAATATACACTCTTGGCTTCCTACCCAAACCATTTTTTTTTTCCTCTTCTTTGCTAGGCAGAGCCCTGATCCATTTTAAGTGTCTATCTTTTTTCCCAAGCAACTCTGGAGAGACTGGTTTATGCCCATGTTCGGGGCAATCCTGATTAGGCTCAACCGTCCAATTAGGCCAATCATAATGGTCCCATTTCCTTTGCCAGGGATTCATTTAAGGGTATGTATGTTATCCCTATCTAGCCAACAAGATGGAAGAAAATGTGTTAGGGGAACTTCCAGCAAAATTCCCACCCTCTCTTAACAAAATGCTTTTTGTCCCACTGTTGTATATGCATATGATGCCTAGACTGATCTTATAGGCATGGAGAAAGTTTGACTGAGGACAAAACTAACATCTTGAGAATGGCAGAGCAGAAGGATAGAAAGAAACAGAGTCTGTAATAATATCATTCAGCTGTGGAATTAATTTGTCCTACTTCTGGAATTGTTATGTGAAATAAATTCAAACAGCATCAAAGCACTTTGAACTTACATAGCATCCCAAATAATATTAAATAAATAAAAAAAGGTATATCCCAAGCCTAAGTTTAGGTTGAAAATTTCCTTGTTTGTATTTTGAAATATTTTATGAACTAAACCAACTGGTGAAAAATGTTTCAATTTCCTTACAAACTAAATAATGTCTTAGTTTTATTTAAATGGCTTTATAGCACTTACTTTTACTAAGAAATACTGTGTAATATGTAGCAGACATAAATTTAATAGCAGATCTTGTCATTCAAAGGCTTTTTTTTCAGAAGCTCTAATTTTTTATATACACACATAATACATAATATTAAAATACATTTTCTATCATATAAATACATATAAATACATGCATGTGTTTTCTTTTCTAATTGTTGCCAACTATATGGTGCTGAAAATGAAGAAAATGGTTTTCGTTTATTTATTTTTTATTGCAGTAACATTGGATGAAAATGATTTTTTTAGTATACAACCACCATCATGATTTCCTATTACCCTTGTTTTTTCTTTTAATTGACTATATATATATAGTTTGCATTTCTTACAAGTAGCATGTCTTATTATCAAATGTCCAGATTATAAATTTGGTTCCAAAATGTCCTCTCGTTTGCTAAAGCAGTAATTTCCTGACCCACAGAATACTAGGTATACTTTGCAATGATGCTTTACCATCAACCACACAGCTGGAATGAGATTAAAAGGGATTTGTTCCAAGATCTACTGTGGAGTTTTAAAGTGGCATACACTGTAATCACCACACTCCAATTTGAAGCTTCAAATATGGTTACTTCCAGACTCTCTAAGTTCCTTTGCATTGCTTCTCCCTCTCTTCATCCCATCAGCAATTTCTGTGTTATTTATTCAACAATATTTTTAAAATCATCACTTTTGTGGGAATGGGGGAAACTAGACTACCCTTGGCAGATGGGATTTGTCAGATAGAGAAGCGAGCATCATGTATGATGAGTTTTAGTTTTGGGGAGCCAGGAGAGATGATCAAACAGAAGGACAGAAAGTGGGGCTGGTGAAGGGCTCCATGATGTGATCTTGTCCCCCAAAACCCACCACATCTTCAATTAATTTACTAATTATAAGTGGCATGGCATGCATAATATGATGGAATTCTTGCAAAAGCCAGTAAGGGATATGCAGGACCAGTGAGTGTAAAGGCTGAAACTAAGTGGATTCAATGAAGAAAGAACAGAGTGCTAGAAAACAAGGGCAGAAATTCTGAGAACATTCCCTCCTCCAAATTCGATCAGGGTGTGAAACAGGTGCTCAAGCCAATTGTCCCTCAGTGTAGTTTGGGAAACTTCAGTGTACATTTTTGTGTCACTCATTATTCTATGAACTCCTGAGAACAACATTGTCTTTTACTCTTTGAATCACAACAGAACTCAATAAATGATTGAATTTGATTCAGGTGGGACAGCGCCTCCAAAAAAGGGTCTTTGTCCCTACTACTCCCAAATTTAGGCAAACTCTATAACCAACTTTACTTTTCTACTCAAAATATTAATAAGAGTGACCTCTCAATACTACTAAGAACTTGGCAGAGCTGAAAATCTCATGGGTGAGTTTGGTTTAGGGTCATCTCTGACTCTCTGGATCACTTACTGCTTTGCATAGGATACCATCCCACTCCTCAAGCCCTGCTCTTAACACAGTTCCTGACAACTATTACTAGTTAATAAGACCAAGAAAGGTTCCAAAAAAATGTAATATGTTTTCCTGAACTTCATCTGGGGCTCCAGGTTCCATTTCTGGTATCTTTTCCACTTGGCAAAAGATGGGAGCTTCAAAGGTCATAGTAATGGATCTGCACACTCTAAAAAGTTATTGGTGCTCACGTCTGTCTTCAATCCTCCTCATCCAAAGACAAGGACCTGACATCCTCTCTACACCCCCTACAGTCAGGACAGGGACTTTAGCAAAGTAGAAGACTAACAAATAAGTGGTGCATTGAAATAAATTATAAATGAAGTACCTATTGTTTACTGTTAGTATTTGTACTCTATCCTTAGATAATGATTTTATCTACCTTTTAGAGCATTAAAGTACAACCATTAGGGTCAGATATTTTATTTCAGAAGTATAAAATCACCATTAGTTTACAAAGTTCTACAAATTTTTAAGAAGAATTTAATATTCTGAAGTTTATTGCTGGAGGCAAGCTCTTATTTCTTATGAGTCTCATTTCATTCATAGAAATATATGAGATATCTTAAGACCCACTGGTATTTCAATTGTAAATATTAAGGAAAGTTGCATTACAATGTAGACAGGTAATCCTGAGGCCCAGCAGAGCAATAATGATTAACAACACACTCTAGAGGGAATATAAATTTTAATAGTATCGCTCATAAAACCCACGTTTCAAAGGTTACAAAACAGAATCAAGTTTACCAAAAGTAAATAAATCATCTTGCTTTGGGGTTTCTTCTTTCATCTCTGATTTTTAAATAACCAGTATCATCTCCCCAGAGCAGGTAAACTATAG